GGATCATTCGGGCTGGAATACACTCCAGAGGGCTAAGCGAGGGCGGCGCGGCTGGAACATGTCTTACAAGTCATTTTGGTGTGCCCCTGGCGGAAGCTAGTCCACCACTCGACCAGATTCCCGGGAATCATGTCTCGTTCCTCTACACGGACGGCCCGGTGGCGTGCGTACCTCGCACTCAAGCACCCCCTCTAGATGTAAGACACAGAGACGATTTCAGCCAGCCACAGGAAACTTCCGGCCTTGGCTGATTTTACAATGGCACGCGATGTCTCGCCATATATGATTTCGGAAAGCGATAGCCATGTTTGACCATCAATCTGTCACGGGACCAGGTAGCTTCACACGGTGTGGAGCCATGGCCTCGCAAGTTACAAGGCTTTCGAACGATCACTCTCTGATGACAATACTTTCAGTACAGGATCTCGATCGACGGATGGCAGGCACCCGAGAGAGAGAGAGAGGGAGAAACTGAGATTCGAGCAAGCGAGTGCTTGCGTTTGCACAGGGAACTCTTTCGCGGTTCTAACGCAGCCTTGGCGGACTAGGAAAAAGCATCCACCTTGGGGATATTTGGTGGCTTCTCTGCTGGATATGGTCAAACCACGACGTTCCTCTTTGGTAATCTTGGCCAGACAGATTCTGCAGAGCTACGACCGACATATCTGAAGGAGACTTTTTGGCATGCTATGCCTAGACTATCAAGTGTGCTGTTTTCGTTCATGGTCAATTAGCCAACCTCTCGACATCCATAGGCAAGTTTGTCTTCCGAATGTTTGATATCACGTTTCTACACGTTTCAACCCTCATTTACAACTGCAAGTAGCATCACTCAAACGAGGCCACGATAAATGCCCCAGTGTCAGTAGCAATTCCTTCCCTTCTCGGCTAAACACTACGACGCGCAAATCGGCTGCTTGGTATCAGCCTCTCAGGAGCCATGGTGCAAAGAACGAGCTCAAGTGCCGATAGTAGCTAAGCAGGACTATTTGGGAGACGCCCGGTACCCAGTTCGGAACGCTCTGGTGCTCTATCCGCGGAACATGGCTTCAGGCCCTTCGAGACATAAATGTGTTAACATTTTCCTGGTTTCGGACTTCTGGTACCAAAGCTTGAGAGCCACGAGATCTTAGATCAGCCCCAAGTTAACTATACATGAATCACTTTGAGCGAACAGAGGTACTACAGGCATATGAACGTCCGTACGAGCTCGCCCACCCCTCGTCAGGGTAGCTACATACCTGGCAGCAAATTGCGTTTTACCCGCAATACATTTAGTTACATTACCACCATATCAACCACCACAGCGTCAGGGGGCGAAGATGAAATACACAGTACACGTCTTCGAGACTGGTAGAATCTACTGGAACATTAAAATCTACTCGTTCTTTTTTTCTGCCCACGTCTCCTCTCGCGCACCTCCACCTCTCGGTGTGAGCAAGGTGTGAAGCAAGGTGAGGTCGCGATCTTGCATCTCTCACCGAGGTGAAGAAAGAGAGGGTCTGTGCTTCGGTAAGAGATAGAGTTCACCTGACAGGCCCATTCGGTGTGATGCTACTGCGGAAATTGCGGGGAAACGGAGCGGAACGGGGGAGGGCCGGGGTGGGGAGGACCTTCCCGACCCTCCCGCAAAACCCCCCTGGCGCACCCGAAAGGAGCGTGTAATCTCGGGTTTGTCCGTGCCTAGATTTGGCCAAGAGGTCCGGGGTGGGGATGAGTAATTGGAGATGTTCCCGACTCTTAGGTTTGGTTCGAATCATCTAATTGAGGTTATGCATCACGCGATTGATGTGATCCCATATCCGTCGGTTCATGTCCGCCGGGTCGTTATTCCAGGGTATCTTGAACCATCTCTGTATCGCTTCGGGGACCCTTCGTCCAGCGTCCAGACCACGATTCCATAATCCAACGAATATCCTGACACCAGACCAGTCGAGATGGAATCATTCAGAACCAAGAGGTGACGATGCCTCTCTCAGCACTCTCGCACCAAAACCGCGATAATCTACCACTGCTACTTACTGCCTTACTTCGGAATCCTCTATGCCCCCCCCCCCCTTCACGATCGCAAACAACCGCATTCACAAACGTCCGTCAAGTCCTCACGTACAGATCCTTACTCTTTCAACGACTCACCTCACCTCACTCGAAACCCCGCTCCTGGCCAACGCGGGTTCACCTAGCTGCCCCGTGCTTCACGAAGGCCAAGTCGCGAACGATACCCGATTGGAGATGGGATTACTATTCCTGGGGCGGGGATGGAAAGGAGATTGGGGCACTCGGGGAAGGGGTCCTGACACGTCACGGGTGATGAACTCTGGTACCCGATTGTGGTTCGGCTGAGCGGTGCGTTCTACGTCTGCGTTCTGGATACCCGATCCAGGGCTTCAAGTACGCACGCACGTATGCGCCCACGTCCCCGTTTTGGAGCCATGGCGAATTGCATTAAACACTGCGGCAGAGACGTGCAAGAGCTGCAGGAACATGCACTCGTGACGCGATGAGTAGATAGGCCAGAGGTGCATGGTCATGAACATCGTTGGTATCATTAAGATTAGAGTGCTGACGTCGCCAGTCTCCTCCATCTATATGCTAGTGCCTCCCAGTAGTTTTTCTGCCTTCCTGCTGTAGTCTTTTTGTCCCTCCTGGTATCTCATGCGAATCTCTCTCTCTCGCTCTCTTTCTGTATGTTTTTTTGGCTCTCGTTCCTCGCTCCACGAACGTAGGCCGTACCTTTCTCGGCCTTATCAGTCGTAATCGGTATCCATGTTCGGCGTCGGAGGATCGGGCGTTGGTGTTGCTGAGCGGCCTTCGATGCTCATTTCTTCTCGATATGCCATTTGACCGTTGTCGGCTCTCTCTAGCACAAAACACCGCTCGGCGTACACACCGTTTTCATTTTGACGGCGCCAGGCAGCGCTGAAGCGACGGACCATGACCTTGCGCCATCCGCCTACATTAATTGTGATTTGCTTCCAGGGCACGTCGGGCGTCGCGAGCTGCTTCTCTCGTAGCAGAAACTGGAAAGTGCGTAAGGCCGCATCGTAGTCGCGGTCCATTCCCGGGTGAACAACCTCGAGCGCGTGAAGAACGGTCTGGACGTGTAGTGTGATAGTTTGAAGGCTGCGGAAGCTGCATAGAGCGCGGAGGAACTCGGTCGGGTCGCACATGGCCACGTCCATGTCCAGCTCCAGCGTGTGCACGTGTGGGAGACCTTGCGCCAAAATAGCGATATCCTCACCCCAGAGCGTTGGGCACCGTCGGTCCTCCTCTCCAAAGCCCATGTGATCACGGAACTTGAGCACTTGGAGGGATTCGCCATGTCTCAAAATGCCATCCAGCGGGAACAGACGGGTGTGGCACGTCACATTGAGGGTCTGCAAAGCCCGAATGTGATTAGCCACCAGTAAGTATAAACCGCCCGTTGCTTCCTCGCGTTTATCAACTAGGTGGGCGCTGAAGTCTTCGCAGTGTAGATGTCGCAAGCCTGCCAAGTCGGGGAAATCCACAGTCGACAGGAAGTTGAAGACGGGCACGTACTTCAGGTCGAGCGATTCGAGCTGAGAAAAGTCCCAATGGGCGCGGGTGTCCTCCTTCGAATGGTTCCAGTCGTATGACTTGAGAGCCAAGTCTTTCAGCGGGGGTATGCGCTCTCCTTGGGCGAACTTGAAGTTCGTCCCCTGCCCACGGTCTTCGTAGTGAAATGTCTCCAGGCGGCGGGAGAGCAGGAGCAGCTGTTTTAGGGAATTCAATCGTGTCGTGAGCGGCGGGGCGGGGCTCGCAAGCTTGAGCGAGACAAGAAGGTCTGTGGGAATCGCTCGGACGTAGGTGTCTCGTAGTTGTCCCTCGAATTCTCGCAGGGGCAAGTCCTCGACGAACAGTTTCGTGCCGTTAAATCGTGTCTGCTGGGGGTTGAGCACGTCTGACGGAAGCCAGAGTCGTCCTGATCGGAATTCAGCATCGACATAGTGCCATCTGCGAGTATCGTCAGCAAATCACTTCCAAAAGCTGTGAAGACCACTGTCAGCATACCGCACAGTCTTTAGCCTTTGGACCCTGTCCAGCACCCGCCGAATGCCGTCAGGGTCTAGGTCGCTCCGTGTGACGACGTGGTTCGTATAGGACGACACATTGCGCAAGAGATTAGGATACCGCGATTCGGCGTCTGGGGCAACAATGCGCTCGTTGAGGCAAATCGTACGGTAGGTGACGGGAGTTGCGATAGCCTCAAAGCGCCTGGACAAGCACCGCGCAGCAGCAAGGGCGCGCTCGTCTATCTCTCGGAGCTGGAAAATCTTGGTAAGCAATTGCGGGATAAGAGGAGTGGCATAGCCATTGAAGCATTGTCAACCGCTCAAAAAACCTACCTGCTCGAAAATGAGAGCCAGCAGCTCGGAGCTGAGGTCATTCAGAGACCATTTCTGTGGCGCTGCACGGAGGGAGGATGCGGTAGCCATTCGCCGACATGTGGCGCTTCCACATGTAGGAGCAGGAGAGAGTCAGGGGAGGGGAGAGGTGTCGAGGAAAGGTAGCAGGTGAAGAGACCTCGTGGCTGGCACAGAGGTGAAGAGACCTCGTGGCTGGCACAGAGGGGGGAAGTAAGGGTCTTATCAACGGTTCCATCAAATTCGAAGGTGTTGTGCTGTTGAAGAGAGCTAGGATGGTCCGAAGTCATGATCCGCCAGTTGACAGACGGGGCTAATCTGTTTGCGGACAATGTCACGAGCGGGTACAGTTAGATGACCCAAGTAAGCCAGCAGCAGCTAGCTAGCCGTGTGGCGACTGCGGGACGGAAGCGACTAGAGGAACGCCGACAACGAGGAGCAGATGGCGTAGTGAAGATGAGGAGGTACCGGTGGAGGAGAGTGGTCGGATCGAGGGCCGGGATGGGCTGGATGGGGATATGATGGGGTCAACGGGGGCCCATCTACATTAACTCGCAGAAGCCGTCTGCAAGAAGAAGACAAGGTGAGGTGCAGAAGGATGCTTGCTGGGTACGTATGTACGCATGTGTATATGTATGTGTATGGGTATCCGTATGTGCGTGTATGGGGCTGATGTGTCGAGGTGTACGTACGGTACAACGCAATGTACCTTGGATCGAAATAGTATGGGGGAAGGAAACCCACGAGAATGGAGTCGCAATATTGGCCCGACGCGGACCGGCCAACTCAGATATGATGATGACAGCAGGGCAAGGCAAGGCAAGGGTTAAGTGAGACAAGACTAGTAGCCCCCGGACTTAAAAAAAAAACAGATTGGGAATGGACAGAAAAGAACAAAAATAAGAATAAAATACGCCCAGGCGATATGATTAGACAGGATAAGGCCAAGGGAACGGGAAGAAGAGCAGATGAGGGATGGGGAACTTGGAAGGACAGACCATCTGCAGAGAGGAAGGGTGGAGGGAAGAGACTTTTCAAGGCTAACATTCGGCACGACAAAACTGGACGGGTCAGGTTTGGAAAGGAAAGCTGAGACAGGCCAGCCATTGTATCAACTACCATCCGTAACAGCTCCAGCTGACTGAGGAAAGCAGAGAGACAAGCTGGAAAGAGAAGACTCGCGCGAGTACCTGGCACACACCTCACACCTCACACCCACACTCACAGAGCTACCTCTTGGAGACACTTGTGTGTGTCAAACCGCGAAGGCGAGGGCAAGGTACTTGCTGCGATTACTAGCAGCAGAGTAGCGAGGAGAGAGCAGGTAAGGATTGGATAGTCAGTCAGTCAGTCAGTCAGTCAGTCAGTCCTGAGGCACCGGGCAGAAAGAAGACTGAGTGGATAATACACAGTAGAACATGTTTCAATTCAGTTGATCCGCCCAGAGACGAGGGCCCCTTGTACCTTGGGTACACCGTAGGAGGGCAGGGGAGAGATATGAACGACATGACAATGGAGAAAGGGGCAGGTAACTTGTAAGGAAGGACTCGGAGGTGGCCGTGAAGGTCAGAGAAGGAGGAGACGGAGATGGATCATGGGACCGGGGTGAGGAGGGGGCTTGAATGGTGGAATGGAGCTAGCAGAAACTCGAGAAGGTACAAGTTGCATGTCTTGTCTGAGAAAAAAGCTGTCACGGCGTTCGTTTGGTTTGTGAGAGAAGAGTTGAAGACAGGACAGGTGTAAGGAGCGAGGCACGAGGTGAGGTGAGAAGTGTGAGGAAAGGGACTTGGATGGGATGAGGAGAAAGAGGAGGTCAAGGGACGTTTCGCAAGAATGTCCCAAAAGGGAAACGCAGGTTCAAGTAACATGGGAGGATCCCAGCAGGGTCTAGAAGAGGGCCCCCTGGTCAATGCGGGGGTTGAAGTAAACCGAAGATCGCTGCCGTCTAGATGCATGTGCCTCTATGTACGTGTGCATGTATGATGTAAGTGCATATGCTGCGAGAAACGTGCCTTCTTCCACTTCACCCTGACTTCCTTCCTCACTTCGAATTCTGCAATCATCCCATACATCGCGCCCATTTTCACCCGCCGTCGTGGCGGCAGATAAGGAACCACACAACTCTGACATAATTGTGAACAAGCGTATACCTTACCTTACCGAGAACCGTACGAGATAATATCCGTTCACAGCACCACCAGCGGGACCACACACGGGTCTTCCCACTCCACTTCGCTCCTCTAACCCGAAAGGCACTGCTTCCCTGTCGTTGGGACTGTCGTCTCCTCCCGTCTCTCGTCAAGACAAGAAATCTTCCGCTTTTTCCCTCCGGATGGAACCACGATCCCAGATGCAGGAAAGTACCGCTCCCCCACCACTTAGGTTCCCAGCATAATGGAACCCGGTTTGCCGTTTGATGGACGTGGATCAAGCCAGACAGTACGGATACACTATGGAATATACTACAGGCACACAGTCACATACCTTGAGCCTGCGGAAGATGAATCCCAACTTTTTTTTTTCTTTAGACAATGTTACGCTGCCGCGCCTAACCATCCCATCATCATTTCCCACGGTCCCGGTGGATTGGCAAGCGATGGAACTTACCGTTCGGAGCACATGGATGATGAAGAAACACATCATGGCTAGCTGCACTGAACCTTCTCCAACTACTTGAACAATATCCTCTTTTCCTTCACCCCCAACCACCCAGCTGTCATGGCTTCGGATGACGCGAAATGAGATCAGCTTGACAGTTGCCGAAAGACGCTGCTGCGTTGCAGTTCCAGAGACGACGCCCGGCTGCTTTCACCACCTGTCCCTATCTTATTTTTAGGCAGGCCAGGAGACTTCCAACCGCGCATGCGACTCTCCTCCGGGGCATGAGAAAAGTTCAAATTTTGTCGAGATAACCGGCCGTTGTCGGCGGTTCGCAGCCTGTCGCCGTTTTATTCGGATCCCACCGGCAAGGTCAGACTCGTTCTCGGCTCTCTGTACGAAAACCTCACGAATAGGCCTGTATCGGCGGCTTTCTGGGCATGAAAATCGATGGTATGTCATGCCAGCGAGCAGAGCTTGTTACTTACTCGAGTCAACCTCATCCACACACTTGCTGCACCTGTCAACCAGCTCATAATCCAATCGCGAACCGCGCCGGAACGGACGTGCAGCTGGGTGCGGGAGACAGACTTGGCGGCGAAGCAAACCATGCAGGGGCTCACCACAAGCTTCAATCTCAGGATCCAATCGGTTGCGAAAGACGACGATAAACAAAGCTGACTTTAGGCTCAGATTGCCCATGTCAAGTCAACGGTCTCAACCCTCTTCAGACCTTCACATTGACGACTGAAGGTGACCCTTTGAACTGTGACGCTCAGATTCCCGCCGTCAAGCTAGGAGCCCCTGTTCGACAACTTCCGTGCACCCTGCGACTCTCGGCCCGCAAAGTCGTTTGGGATTGGGATGAGACTGGCTTGGAAAGGATTGGAGACTGGTTGGAGAACTGGCTGGAGAGTTGGGAACTTGGACTGAACGTCTCCTAGTGCTCCACACAACTCTGACGAACCAACCGGGAGACCCACAAACCAGAGGGGACTCTGTAATCGGCAATATTCCATTATCCGGGCTGCTGGCCAGCAAATGGATGCGATTTGCTCGTCTGGTTTTCCATCCAACTCCCTGTCCGCGTCCGTTGTCGAACAGGGACCCCCGGATCTGCTGCGCTGCACTGAATCCGGCACGCTCAGATTCTGTGCTTGAAATTTTCTTTTTCTTGTTCGATTTGTTTCTCGCCTACCTGAGGGTCACCGCTTCGATTCTGCACCGTTGCTGCGCATTCGATGCGTCGATGCGGCGCGACTCCCCAGACAAAATACACAACAAGAATGTCACCAGCAACCGGTACGGATACTACGCTATCCACGTCAGCTTCGAACACGGTCCTTTACGCACGTACAACATGATGCAAATTGAGGGGCGTACAGGACGGGACGTGATGTGTGCATGCGCCGTTCAAACAGCAAACCATCGATATCCACGTCACCAGAGGGCAGATGTCAGAATATGCCGCGTCAAGTCTCTTACTGCGGTATGCTACGAGGGCATAGATAGTGGCGCCTGGCTGCACTGCAGGGCATCGCTACGTGCCGCACTATTCATGTGCGGATAAATGTACATACATACGTACTTGTAGTATGCATGCATATGTTGACGAGCGAACCGCATTGGGCTCGAGTCGCGACGTCGGTACCAAGGAAACGTTGACCGGCCGCATTCGACATGCATGGCGGCAGCGGCTCCCATGTCGTTTAGGTGAATTAGTGCCGCCACCAGCCCAACCACACACCAACCCAGACCTGCCAAAAGGTGAGCAATTGCTTCCTGCATACCACTAGTACAATTCCATGGGAAACTTGGGAAGGAATACATGATCAGTCACTTACGCTTGCCATCTAGCCAACGAGCCGGTGAATCAATCACACTCAAGATTGGAAACTGTCGTCGCCTGCGCCTGTCATTGCACTCGACAGTGAGACCATCGAGTGCCTGCAACTGCCCTACCTGCACTGATCAGCAATGCCGTTCCGGCCCGCGGCTGGTCATATCGTATTGTCTCGTACCATTGGTTTTCCATCCATCCTTCACGACCCGCCTCCAATAAGGAACCACAGACAGCCCGACCTTCGATGTCCGTCGGTACCGGATGACATTGACAGTTCACATATCCACGTCCATCATTCCAACATTCCAAAATTCAAACCCTCTTCTCTCGGCGGCAAACCATGGCTGGTGGCCTTAATTCCCGAACATAGTTGCGAACTCTAATTCCGGCCCGCCTACAACGATATGAAGTGGGCTTGTCAATGTCACCCACTCTCAGACTCCCCAGTCCGAGAGACTCGCTGCGATTCAACGTGTCGTTCTTCCAGAACGAACAGGACGCCTTCCCTGGTCGACGCACATAGGCTAAAGCCCGTGGACGGTGGGCGACTACACTAGCTCAGGCTGGAGGAGCGGTCGATCTCTGTTCCATCAGCCGCATCGTCTGATCTCCGCCCAAAGATTCCAGAGATGCGAGTGGTCCGTCGAACCCTTGTACAGTTCCCTGCACAGCCCGCACTAGGTTTTTCCCACGTTGCATCCTGGCCTACCAGCCCTTGACGACTTTCTTCACCAATCCTCTCATTCACCAACCGCCTCTATGGAGACTCTGCTAGGTCTTTCCTCCTTGCTTTCACCACGTCTTTGAATAAGCTAACACAGACGCGTCTACTTATCAATGATTAGTTTCCTCAGGCAAACTTCTATCCATCGAAACATCGAACCCGCTTTCCCGCAGACGCACATACCAGGCATGGTCATGATTGCCATGGTGGACTTGATTCAGGACGACCACCCGCGGCGTCGTGATCGAGCATGTAGGCCGCTCCTCCTAAGTCCTGCGTTCCGCATCCTACGTCTGGCTCCTGGCAGCCGCTGGCCCAAGCGGGGTGGAAAGGTGTTCAACTCCATCAGGCCAGCTCGCCGTCTGCTATGCCTCCCAGTCAACATCGTCGCTGCTTCTCTTTGATAGGGCGTCGTTGAAACAAGGCTGGCGCGGGAGGGTTCCGAGCACTTCCCCTCAGATGGTAGCACTACCAATGTTCAGACCAGGTCGACCTGGGATGGTCTAACGCTCTAAGGGAACGCGGTCGCCTTGAGGCGATGAAGCTATGGGACGTTAGGTAAGGAAAGGGGCCTGCACTGACCTTACAAGAGCTTCATATGCCGAGACGGGTCATATTTGCAGCACGTCCCGTCGTCTCCAGGCGTTTCCCGCCTAGCCTTGCCCTAAAACGCCGCCATTGGTTCTCAGGAAGGGAGCCGATTGCCGATACTTGGTCAGATCAGACAGTGCTTGCGGCTTGCAGGTGAGGGGTTGTGGCTTCAAGCGCTTCAAGCGTTGCGATTGGATTGGGAGGCACTCTTCCCAGCATTTGTGCCCGTCTGCAGCTGTGCTAGTGCGTTGCGGCTCGAGGGAAACGCCTTTCTGGGCGCACGCTAGCCAACGAGCACATTTGCAGGTGGCCTTGGTGTTGGGTATGTGAGGGCACGAACGGCCGTAATCCCCATATTCGCCATCCACTTCATGCTTCGTTCTGAGAACAGGCCGCGTCGCCCAATTTTGGATGTGCCAGGCATACCTCATGCAGCAGACCGGCCTCGAACAGCTCAAGCCCGAGCCAGCGAAGCAAGACGCTCAGCTCAGCATGATGCTGTGGCACATTCAGGGCTTTCGAATCACTCGGTTCTTTCTATTTTCAAATTGCGAGACTGTCATCTGATACGCCCCCTTCGTCGACTGACCGGGCGCCGCAGAAAGAGGGGATTTTGACAGTTCGCTCGTCAACGTTGCAGTCTGATAGACCATTCCGTCCAAAGGTTACGCCTTTGAAGGATTGGGGAGAAAGTTATTCTGTCGTGTTCCATACCCGAGACAAGGGTACCAGTCGCTCGTCGGTTGTTGCCGTCCAACCCGGGGCCAGCAAAGCTCCTAAGAAGCAAAGCAGAGTTTTGTGTGGTTTCTCCCCTGCTCCTCTCCTCCCCTACTTGTCTCCTAGAAGGGAGACGAGAAGAATCCCAAACGTTACGCTGGCTTGCCCATTTCGTCCAAGTGGTTGGCTGTGGCAGTGGCTGTCAAGAGAGATGCAAGATCTCGCGATATATGGCATATACACTATCCGATTCGCTCGATGCTTTTACTCCGGGCAACGCGCCGAGACAGCCGGATACCACCACCGACCAACCGCCGCTTGGTTTCCGAAGATGGTGGTGTGCGTGTATGTGTGTCGTGGTTGCAGCCCTTCTTCTTCCCCGGCTTCTGAGGGCTGGCTAGTAATACGATTTGTCACGCGGAAAGGCCAATATCCTCCGTGTGTCCCGTATCCTTGAGGACGCTATCCCGTACTATGGTTGGTACGACCGCTCATCCCCGGGGGCGCGAGGGGCGAGAGCCGATAAATCCGGTGAAGTGTATGTGTGTGTATGTGTGCCGGCCGGCCGTCAGCCAACGGAGGGCAGGGCTTGGGGGTTGCCCTTCGAGACGGTTTGCTTCCGTTTTCACCGTTTGGTAGGTTGGAGGGGATTTGAAGAGCAGTGCCTGCTGTTGACAATCTTAGCCTTTCAGTGGTCTTTTGAGATTTGTGAACGGGCAAAAGGATCGTTGTATGTTTGGGGCTGGGACAACGAGAATTTTTTTTCACACTGCCTACTCAATGCATTTTCTTGCCCTTTCCCAGCACATACGACCATACCCATTGGAAAACTCGGGATCCCGTCCGCTCTCCCATAGATAAGCCAATGAGGGCCGGATTAGTAGTTGGGTCGGTGACGACCAGCGAATACCTGGTGTTGTATGTTTTTGCCTTTTGGTCATGTTAATTGACTTTGGTTACCATCCTTGCTTTCTTTTCGCTTGTCTTCTTTCAAACGTGCCCGTGGCTGGCCTGCTCATTACCCGTGTACGTCTTTTTATTGCAAGTCTCAGGTTGCCTCAAGACTAGATGAAGGCGTATTCCTGCATGGGCAGGTCCATTATTTGCCACATTCCCTTCACCTTATCCAACACTCTGTACGAAGTTGGGTCGGCAGATTCCGTGTTTGAGGCTATTCCCAGATCACCAGCGTCGGGTGTAGAGGGTGAGTGCTCAGGTTCCTTCCCCTTGCCGCCTACCATAAAATCATGAGTGTCAGATGTAACAGGCTTCCGTTCAGATTCCTTGCCTTTGCCGCCGATTATGAGTTGCTCTTCATCGACAGCGGCGCTCTGCTTCCCATGGCTCTCTGGCTTGGCCTTCTCCACCGGTTCAACCACCCAGCAGATACTCATACTTCTGATATCAGGACGAGGCAGCACTTCCCAGTCTGAGTTGAAGACGGGAGCAACGAGGCATGGTCCATCCACGTCGAAGATCGATATGAGCTGCTGCGTCCGAGCTTGCTCTGCCTCTGCCGTGAAGAGGTCTCGCTTGAGAGCTTCTGCGAACCAAGCCAGACTGGACGGGACGATCCTGGTTTCGTGATCCTCGAGGGCGTCGAAATTTCCTTCGAGGCCAGAACTGTAGAGCGTTGCCAGGACTCGTCGCTGGAATTGCCGTTGGATAATGTTGTCTGGAACTTTGCCATCATTCTGCCGACTGGGGCCTTCCCCTAGATCGCGGCTCGGCCTAGAATCCACTCCCACCAGCGGGACATTGGAAGCGCAATTATACCTGGCGACGAAGAGGACGCCCTCATGCATGATCCGGTTCACGATCCAGGCTTGATAGTGGCCGCCGCCTCGATCCTTATCCAGCTGAAGCGTTCGGAAAGGGTCCACAAGAACGTCTTCGTGTGAAAAAAGCTGCTCACCCACCAAGTCTGGCATCTCTGGCCTACGTGTATAGACGGCATCCGTGCGAATCGATTGCCAGATGCTGTTCGCGGCGCCTAGAGACTGAGTGGTACAGAGGCCGTGCAAGTATCGCAAGATGGCGAAGAAGATCTCCGCCACGATCTTCTGCATCTCGGGCTCCGCTTCTACGCGGTAGGCGTCAAGGTATGCTTTGACCTGAACCCCCCTCGCATCTAGACCTTCCCAAACACTCGAGTCAGCAGCGATGACACCATGGTGGAAGATTTCCGATTTCGCCCGGTCTGCGACGTAGTTCTTTGAGAAATGTTGGGTAATCAAACCCTTTCGCCTAGCGAATTCATCGACGGATTCCTCCTTTTGGCGGTCCATGATGATGCGCAAGCACTTCATCCTATGCCAGATCTCGGCGAATTGGTATTTCAGAGGGCTGAGATCGAGAGTATCGTCGACTGTCCAGAGATATGCACACAGATGGAGTCCTTTCCTCTTACCCCCAAAACTATGTTTGTACACGGCAGGGTTGACGAGCTTGCCGTCTTGTACTGCGTAGCTACTGATCCCTTTGGAGTCCGTGTCAAAAGGTGACAGAAGGCTCCCCACGCGGCGATCCATAGAAGGGTCTGGCTCTCCGTCTTCGTCGCCAGGGAAGTCATAGACCTCAGGCACCAGGAGGGACGTGTCTCCATTCAGCAGCGTGATGGCCAAAATACCGATTCGAAGCGAATCACATTCCTTCGCTACTCTCATAGGGTCTAAGCGAATCTCGTAACTGCACATGTTTGCCAGGATAGTCAAACGATCCTGAACATCGCGACAGTGACGACTCTTCAGCAGCGTCAGAGCCGTGGCGGCGTTCACCTTTTGACGGCCACCGTAGACTTTGCCTCCGTACACGTGGACACCGGCCACATGCTGGCGCACTGTGATCTTTGGATGAAGGGACTCGGCGACGGAGAGGATCGGGATGGCATTCTTGCCGGTGTTGGTTCGAATCAGAGCCTGCCCCATAACCTGAAAACGTTGTTCCAGTAGAGACTTGCAGGTTTCGACAAGGGCCCTAAAGAGGCCTACAGGAATGCAGATAATCTTTGACTTGAGAGTTCGCCTCTCCGCGTCTAGTGGATGTCGAGGAGTCGAATACTTCTTCTGATCGGCACGAAGCTTGGACGTGTAGACAACACCGGGACCTCGGCTGAACACAAGAACCAAGCCGTCGCCGGCACTGACTGCTTCTTGAATAACCCACGCTCGTGTGTACCATTTGTCTGCTTGGACCATGTACAAGAAATCCAAAGCATACTGGAACAGCTGTGGACGGAGGCTCAAATAACGCAGTTCTTCCGTTTTGTGGTCTATCAAGAATCGAACCGCGCTCATCTCAGTCTTGCTGATAGTTGATTCGTGTAGGCCAGCTGTAACGATAGCCCTGTTGTAGACTATGTCCAGTGCCTGCACCCCGAGTCGCTGGTACGCCTTGTCTTCCTCTGAACCATCTTCTTTCGGTTGCGGAAGGCATTCCTGGTCGATCCAAATCATGCGAAGCCCGACGGAATTAGCAAAGTCGACAGCACGGTCGAGAACATCGTCAAGTGCCCGAGCAGCACGTGGCATACCGTTGAGATCTCGGACCTTTGATTCGATGATAGGAGGAACGGTGTTTCCATACTCGTCTTTGATTTCCTCAGGCCAGCAGTACGATACTGCAACATAATGGACACATACGTCGACGCTGCTTGGCCGTTTCGTGACGAGATGCGGAAACTCGTCCGCTGGTTTGAAAAGGCGGAAGTTCCGTGTCTTTTTGTCGTGGGGAAACGTGGGTAGCTTCGAGCATATTCTGCATTCGAAGACGTCTTCATCTTCGTCTGTGTTGGTAACAGAGGGCCCGGATTCTGCTGGAATCGGTGCGTTGCCAGACTCGCCGTCACTCATCAATGACAGACGGATGGCCTCTTGAAGCTCTGGATCATCCATATTCTCGTCTTCGGGGGTCTTTTTACATGCTGTAGATGATCCAGCATTCAGGCTCGAAGGCTCCGCCGTAATTGGTCCGTCGCTGGAGTCATCGTCACCCATCAACGACATGCGAATGGCCTCTTGAAGATCTGGATCGTCCATGTCGTCGTCTTCTGGAGGATGCTCAAATACCGCAGCTGGCCCGGCTTCCGAGTGTGGTTGCTTCAAAGATGAGATAATTGCTTGCTTGAACATGGGATCTTCGCCGCCATCTCCAAGGGTTTGCGGTGCAACAGATGAATCATGATCGGGACTCGTCGGCATGAACTTGGGAGGCCTCTCGAAGATCGCGGTGTTCTCGCTGGTCTTGCCTGTCTTCGAGTCGCCCTCGTCTGCGTCGGCGGTGTCATCATACACTAGGAACTTGATATCTCGATAAGCCCAAGTCTGTGCCTTGAAACGTTGTACCTGAAACTTCCAAAGCCCTTGGACCTTTTCGAGTTCCCCAGGCCTGATAGCCGACGTATTGTGGCCCGTATCGTCTTGCATGTTGTCCGTTCGGCGATGTAGTCGGGGATTACTGTGCCCTCCGAATCTTCTTGTGAATGGTGATAAGTAGACTCGGCCGATCAGCAGAAAGGGAGGGGGCTAAGAATTTATACTCATCTGAGTAGACAAGTACATCACCTTCTGAAGCAGTGGTATAGGATAGCCTGTCGTCACGACGGAAATTAGATGCTTATTGTAAGCTTGGCTGCCTCCCCAGAACGCCTCGCAGCCTGCTTTACAAGACTTCTCTGACGTATTTCTGCGAGCTGATATATGACGTAGATCTGAAATCGTCGCTGATGATTGGAGTATACTTTGGGGTTCGGCACGTCCAGTCGCCTCATGACTGCTTCGCCACGAAAGGAGTTTCGGCGCCTAGTAGAAGCTGAGAGTAATCCTTCGTTGAGCGAGGCAACGCCGCTCAACTGCAGTGTAGCAGTCAGCGTCGCATTGAGGCAGGAAGGCCGTATACAGTATTGGGGGAATGAAGGTGGAGTACCAGGACTTATACCCTTGGGTGATGGCTCTCATGGCATTCCTCCGCAAAGTAAACCGGGGTGAATGAAGACTTGAGTGCATCGAGCTAGATAGCCGTGGCATCGCTCTCGTTTCTACAGTCGCGTTAGTGCCATGCCGATCGCTGCGTCTCAGGGGCATCTTATTTCTCTCAACAGCTACGAAGCGCCTTGCTGTCCTGGCTAGACTGTGAGCCAAAAACAAGCGGAGAGGCGCAGAGATAATCTGTGACGTTCTGTAGGAGGGGGAACGAGAGGAAAATGGCGAAGCGTAGACCACATGTTCGGAACCACGTTGGAGACTGACTGCCTACAACTTAGTACGTAGCAAAACGTCTCTTTCTGATCCCACTTTCCCTCTCGACAGCACCAGAAGCAGCTCCCCCTGTACCATTGCCTCATCACTTCCTCTGGTCAATGGCGACGACAAAAGAGCATTGTCACTTCCCTGAGGATAAAAAGGTCTGATTTCATAGAGGTAAACTCGTAAGCCAGGCGCCGTGCTTTGCTAATGCCTATAATCGACAACTGTGTTCGCTCATCAAGAGCGGCACATTTCATCTGCCTTGGGTGAAATGAGAACACCACCACAAGATACCCAATTTTTCCCTTGCGAGAACTCTAAAGCAATATGCGCAGGGAAAACAACCCCCCTTTTCTGATCAACAAAATATGGCAGGATACATCACCTCCTCACTCAATTGAGCTTCCGCCACCCAATCTAGTACCTGTACACCGGGTCCTTCTTCTTGGAACTCTTCGGGGTTGATTCGTAAAGGTCATCATCCGAGTCCTCATGCAGTGTCTCTTGCCTGTTCCTGAGGTCGACAGTCTGGATCGGGTTACCGCTGAGGGGTCCAGGCGTAGTGGCTTCGTCGGCGCCATGCATCGTGATTTTGCCAAGAGCGCTGTCTTGTCTTCCAAGGTAGCTTGGAGTGGGGTTGAAGCCTGGATGGAATGGCTCATGAGCCAGCCGCGGCTCCTCGCCCGGTAGTTCCACCGCACCACCGGACCCTCCGGGTCTGCTCGATGAAGAGTAGTGGATCTCCGGCTGGGGGTCTCTGAATGGGTCCTCGGCCCCGTATTGCGGTTGCGCTTTCGGGGGCGGTCCCGGGGGTGGGGCGAAGGTTTCTGATGCCTTGCCCTTTCCGCTTCCTTCGGACGGCCTTGTCGGCAGAGGAGGGGTCGAACTAGAAGATGACGACTGGGCCTGGGCTTGCGCCCATTCTTGGGTCCGACTCGCTTGCTGAGACTCAGCCGTCTGGGGGCTCACGGGGCTAGCATTATCTGACCTCGGGTCAATTCCGAGCTGCTTCCGAGCGCCAAGAACGGCTCTCTGATGCTGGTTGAGCGCTGATTGTAGTTGCTCGTTCGTATCAATCAGGTGCTCCATAGTCTCATTGTCGGGAGACGGGTTTTCGGCAGTCATGTACAATTGTATACTTCTCGAAGCACTCTGGCATCTGTCCGCGAACTCCTTGATCAGGTCATTGTTGATGACCTCCTGGGGAGGGGTGTTGACGACAACCTGAGAAAGTAACTTTGCAGATGTTCTCGCCTCCTCTAACCTACTTGCAAGCTCAACGGGGGTAGGCAAGCTTCGATTGGTGTGATTTCTTGCAAAATAATTCTGCGAGTGAGGATTGAATGGCGGCGCATTCATAGTCCGAGGATCGGGGCCAGCCATAGACTGTCTGGGATTCTATGGGGATATGTCAGTTCGGTAAGGACGGAATCGACTGCTTTTTTTAGGAGCCCTTACGCCATATTGCTTGTAGCTTCGTTCCTTTTCCTTCTTCCACATAGAGATCAACTCGCCCAGACCCTGATCGTCAAACTTGGTAGCCTCGAAAGTATCCAATGTCTCGGATAGCATCTGTCTGACACTGGGATCGTGCGTAGTACGGTATAACTCCTTGACGGTATCGGCGAACTTCTTGTCCATATTCCGCGTGAACGTGGGGCCGGGATTGTCGGTAAGGATGCGAATCAGCATGATGGCATTGTACTGCCACGAGGCTTTGGCGTGGTTATCCTTGGCTAGGTATTTCCGGATGATGCGCGCGCATTCGGCGGCCGCGGCCGGAGAAGACTCAGCGGCATCGACAATGGGCGGGAGGTAGAGGACTTCGTCGCCCTGTATATTCTATTAGCAGGAAGCTCACCGCGAGCACAAATTGTCGCGACTAAGCATATACCTGAGCATTGGGGCCTCCAGATTCGCAAAATTGTTTCTGAGCACTACGTCAGCTGTGATCATTGGCGTAGGGAAGGCCAGGTCTTGCATACCACGCTACGCGCAGCCGTAGCTTCGGGCGTCTCGTTCTGCGGGTCTACTGGCGATGCCGACACTTGGCTGGATCCACTGAAGTCTTGCGGGGAGAGATATCGATCAGCACTGCCTTCGGGATCACTCTAGATGGAGTTAGGGTGTATGGTGGTTTCAACTCACTATTCGTCGTTCGCTTCTTGAGCGTACTCATCATCCGATTCACACTAAGCCCCTTCATGGCCTTCATCTTTGCGGTCGCGGAACCTGCGGACGGAGGAGCGCTGAGCCGCGAGGGGACGAGAGACTTGCGTCGGAAGCACGGATCTAGGGGTCCTATGACGGACAAAGGGGGAAAGCGCCCGAGTCGAAGCGGAGTGGTCGGATGTCCAGAAGAGACGCTGATATGAACGTCGCAAGATATCGCAAAGCGGCCGTGAACGACTGAAGTGAATGGACGATGGGCGGATTGTCTGTGGAAAAGAGTTAAGGTTCGGTGAATGGAATGACAGCAATGCGGGAAGCTGTGCGCGTATGTTTCGGGGGGCAAGCGGCGGGAGTTTGGAAGAAATAGGTACGGATGCGCAGGGCCTAGTTGAGCTGCAGCCTGGAAGTGACGCTCGGAGGGGAAGGGTAAGGCAAGGTCGGACGGGCCAGACGAACTGGGGGTTATTTTAAATTAAACCTCAGCCCGGCGTCCCGCTGGTCCACCGTCCACGGGGTCCTTTTAAGCGTGTGCTGTAATGGTGCGTAGTGCGGTATCTGGTCTGTTGGACCGTTGGAAAAGTTTTGGCGGGGTGATTGGAACGCCCCAAGTATCGAGCGTCTCGGCGTGTGAGAGGAGGGAGACGGCGGCGCCTGGCAAGGGTTCGGGTCGAGTGGGCTTGTCTGCGCCTCTCCGAGTGCGTGGTGCGAGGAGAGTTACTGACCGCGGTACGGAGTCGAGGTCACGTAGCGGCGGCGGTAGTCTTTGGCCTTGCGAATGCCGGACGTTGCCGGTGGCTTTGATTAACCTTGATACTCTGCTGGTAGCGCTTCTTGGAGATCTATCTCGCGGAGGATGGCGCAAATGAGTGTGGCAGTTCGTCGGTTTGTTTTCTGGCCTGGGCAGATGCTTCGTTTGTTATGAGGGGGAAAAGCCAAGGAAGGAGCCTTTTTGTTTATTGACATTTGGTGTTAACGAGGAAGGATAATCATGGACGTAGGGAAGATATCAGTGTTTCTAGCAAGTTGTTAGAGACCCTTGCAATCTTGTCGTTGTTGGTTGGAGCGAATCATGTCAGATCAGGATAAAGGTAAGTATGCGAACGACGAGAAGAAACGAAAGGCGGTGGAAAGGGTCCTCGATTTGCGTTGGGCCGATGAAGGTATGCTCGTCGGTCCTTTTGCTGCGGCGAGTTGTTCAGACCAGGTACAAGTGTCGCGGCGTTGATTCTGGAGCAGGCATGACGACGACTTGGATGGCAAAAAGTGATGCGCAAGAGGCCCAGAGCCCCCAGAGAAGACGGCAGTGCCTGGGGAGACCTTGCACCGATCTCCAGTACGTATCTCACAGCTCGTTGATGGTGGGGACCTCGAAACCACCAAACTTTGGTTTTGGGTCTTTCCTCCTCTGTATCCGTCCAGACGGGAGTAATCCTCCTCATCAGATCCCATCCATCTGTCTGTGTCTTTCTCATGTTATTCGGACCTTACCTTACCCGAGACGAATTTTCAAGACTTTAGCATTCTCAGCATAGCTGCCACATGTGCTTCAAATCTACACAACCCATCACGCTCTACTGGAATGTTTATTCATCCTCCTTCTTTTTGGTTTGGGTTCTACTTTATTTGGAGAGGACCACGTCAAAAATTGGGGGTCGCATTGACTAGAGACATCCCCCCATTTTGACGTATGCAGGCGGGTACGACGGTCCAGTCTACGTTCATGCCATAATTCAGGGTCTTCCTCCCGCACATGATCGGATGGCAAATCTGCTCCTTCAACAATACAGCAACTCGTAATAACATAAACCTCGAGCTAGACAAACAACCTGTCTTGATGTTGTTGTTTTCCATCGCGATTAAAATCCGACCATGATGATCAGCCCTCTTCTTCACTTCGCAGCCGAGCTACACAAACTTTCAACTGCCAAACCCCACGGCCCGGCAAGCCAAGTATTGGTCTGCACAGCCTCACTCATCCACGCAAGCAGCAACATCCTCAACACGTACGTGTATGGCCAAACAGCGCCACGGGACCTGCCACCTACATCGCGTGCGGTGTACATTACACACTTTTCCCTTCGGCCTCCCGTCGTCTAGTGGGGAACTCCCAAGACGCCAGACAAAAGAGGCCACGCAAATCAACCCCTCTTTAGCATTCACTTACAGATACCTGCGGTGAGATATGTACATCATCAGGTTGCCTCCCGCGCCAATGTCGTTACCCTCTTTTGAACTTCACGGCCTCGTGCGATGGGCTACCTTGGCTTGCCCAAGATGGACAGACGGCTCCCGCGGCTAGCTTTAGGCGATAAGAAGCTATTGTATCCTGCAGCTTGCTGACAACGTTCTTCAATGCTCGCGACAATGTCTGGAATGGTTGCTATTGGGTGCCCGCGCACTGCGCGTACAAAATGGCGCGGTTTTCTACCAATGCTTGCTCTGCCTTGCGCCATTCTACACTTGCTTGATCAGATGCCCTGGGTCGTACCATCTCCATCTACGACGAGTATTCTTCGCCCGAGTCTGACTCGCCGTCGGCCGACACTTCCTCCACGATCAGATTCCCTGACCGCCCAATCTTCTGCCCCATCGTTTCCTCCTTGCTGGGTTCGTACACCACCCGGGGCATCACAGATGCAATGCGGAACTGATACTCGTGCTCGTAGCCCTCGGGCTTGACAGCCGCCTTCTCTGACACTTCCTCTGATGCCGTCAACACATCGTAACACTCCACGAAAGCGTATAGCGTTTCCATCGTTGTGTCGTTGCGGAACCGGCGCACGATTCTTCCAGCCCCAGACGACTCGGGCATCTTCAGCGCAATCCGTACCACATCCTTGTTGCTGGCTGGTGGCTCGTCTTCCATAGTCGTCGCCCGCCAGCGCTTCCACTTATCGCCAAGCTCCTCGCGCCTCGCTGCCGCTTCGGCTTCTTCCTCGGCTTTGCGTGCAGCTTCTGCCGCGGCCTTTTCCGCCTCGCGCCGCTGTCGCGCTCTCTCCCTGTCCTTGGCCAACGATCGTTCGTAGGCCGTATCTTGCTCAGTTCGCAGACTGCGTGCCACCTCTTGTGCTGTCCTCTCTGCTCGGACACCTGCTAGATCTGGTGCGTATTTGTTGATGGCAATCTGAGCTTCCGCAAGGTACGCAGTAGCCGGCATCGGGCCAGCAAGCCGCTTGATGATGCTCATTCTAGTGCTTCCTTCCTTGGGCGTGAGGCAGATGATCGCCGAAAATGGGTACTTTGTGCAGTTGTATTCCTGGGCGACCTGGTACGCTTCAGAGTCCAGGATGTTGCCGCCCCACAAGATAACATTGTTCGCCGGGTCATTGATGAAGCTGACAACATCCGGGTTCAATAAAGTTTCCCTCGTGAAAGATTCGGTATCGTCGTGTTCGGGCGACATGAGAACAACAAGTAAGAACTTGAGGTCCTTCTTGGCCAGGTCTTGTGCCTGGGCAATACCGCCCTCGAACCAGGGCAATTCGGTGCTTCCATATTCTTCCTCGAATTCACGCTTGAAACGTGCGGCCGTGTCTCGGGGCATGAGCATCCGGCGCCCATTGGTACTCCGCAGTCCATTCCCCGGCCCGCTCGTGATGGCCCGTGGCCGGATCTGTCGGGGAAGAAAACTGAGCAGGTAGAAGACGGTCCGAAACACCTTAGATGCGATGCTGTAACCGATGCTGAAGGGTGCCAGGAGCAACCCGATCAGGAATGGTGGACGGTGGACTGTATTCGGTTGAGGAACGATTCGCGGCGCGGGGTCGGGTCGATCTCTCCGAGGAGCCGGTGGACGAGCTGCAGAGGCAAGCAGACTCTCTTGAAGGTTTTCGTGCCGCGCTTCTGTCCGGGGGATGTCCTGTGCCATTGCCTCTGCGACAGGATCAGGGCCTTCGCCGTCGAAGAACTTGGCGATGGCGATCTGTACCCAGATCAGTCAGTATAATTCACAAGCTGGCCAGTGCCGCGTTGCAGAAGTTTACCTGGACGTTCCATTGCGATCGCTGCAACAGCGGTATCGCATCCTTGAGCTCCTGATTTGTGACGCTTGTGTATTGCTGGAGGGACTCTTGCTGACTTGCAGACAGCTGTCCCAAATCTACGTCTCCGCTCTCCGCCATGCTGTCGTTGGGTGCTGCACACAAGTCAAGATTGGCGAGTATGTCGAAGCGACGATGGGTATAGTCCAAAGGCAGATTCAGTGGTCCATGGAAATAGGTGAATGCGCAGGTTGACGTTGTGAAAGGAGTCAGGCCTAGGGCGGAAGTGGGCTGGTCACAGCGAAGAGCAACGTGGCTAAGCAAGGCAGCGGAGAAGGACCCTTCCGCGGTAGTTGCAGCAGCCTGCCAAAGTCGTGATAAATTGGCAAAGGTCGCCTATTTGACCGTGAAATAAGAAAAATAATACAGCTGGATGCGTGGGAGAGACAGAAGAACAAGTTCAAGAATCAAAGGAGCGGCTTTGGGCTTTGATGCAGCTCATTGACGAGAGGCTGGATGCGTTGGTAGCAAATGATCGGGTGTCTGAGATGGTCCGCTAGTCGCAGCTGATTGTCGAGAGTGTCTTGTCCGGTGACGACACTTGTCCGTGGGCGGAGTGCGGATGTTCAAGGGCTTGGCAAGGTACATGAAGTAAGGTAAGGTACGGAGTACCTACTGCTGGCGTCTGCGCGACGAATCGCGTTCGTGACGCCATAAAGAGTATGTTTTATCGCTTATCTGGACACATGGCAATTGCATCTGTCCGATGAGGGGAGACGTGTCGGATAGGTACATAGCCCCGCTGCGATGTGAAGGATGAGTGGACACCTACATGATCTTTCCTCAGCTACAAACACTACGGGGAAGTGCTAGAATTCTTAGAAATCATTAGGATATCTAATAGATGATACGGATAGCCTTTTCTATAATGTGCCTTGTATCCTTAATTGACGTGAATTGCTACCTACCTGGGATGAACATGAATGCCAATACGGCTATCATTCCCACATCAAGTATCGATTTTCACGAGGCTGGGTAACAGCAAGCCAGTATTCATGCAATGTATATGAGCTGAGTCGTGTGAGAGTGACATCCACCTCATTATGCACCAAGTGAAGGCCGCTTCGACCTAGATGATATTATCGCTCGGATATTGTGGAAATGACATACTTTCACGGCCAAATCCAGCACGTTTACCCACGAATGTTGATTAATAGTGCGAGAGCATTGACTTTAAGCGGTTTTCATGTCGCGAGGGTGTGTCACTGTCCCCCCTCTCAGTACCTACTGGACACAACCTACGCTGTAAGTTGGTTTGACTTGGTTGGTTCCATTCCCACCACGCCTAACCTCCGCTCGCACCGCCAACTCCCGCTCCTGTGTAGGTTTGGGTATTCCCTGGCCGCGCGGTAGCAAATCCGACCTCTCTGTCTTCCCACCCACATAAACCGCCTACCTCACTGGACTGCTCCGCCGCCCGTCGCGCCGTTGTCGCCGGTCCCTGTTTTTCCCTCTGTCCTTCCTGGTCCCTCCCGCCTTTCCTGCGCTGGGCTGCATATCCGTACGCATCCTTCCAAGAAAAGATACGGTGCGCGCATCGGTGCTTTACTTCTACCTTGCCTTACCTAAGGTACTATCTCGACACGACCTTATTCCGACTCCATTCCGTTGCCTTGCATCATCCGCCAGATTCATCTGCCGTCAACCTCGACTCTCGCCTGGTGCACGGCATCGTGTCCATGATCGAGACACCTACCCCACCAAACGTGTTCGAGCCATGGCAAATGTCTGCAAGGATCAAGTGCGTCTGCCCAAAAATGTCCTCTGCCCCCAGTCCGGCTTCGCGCCAGGCCCCACGCGAGCTCCAGTCCTTCCTCTCTGCCCGCCTTTGTCTTCTCTCCACCCCGCTCAGACAGCCCAAGTCCTGAATTCCCCCCCGTCCACACCCAGCGCGCGCGCGTCCATACCATGAAAACGACCTCGACGACAACTCGATCATGGGCTTTGGATTTGGCTGACTCTGTGCAGACGTCGTAACGTCGACCAAGGGGGCCAAACTTTCTTCCACCGAAACTACTGATCATGGCCACCTCGCGATACCCCCAGTCCGACCTCCGTCGACAAGTTGGGTCGCCGAAACCCAAAATCCGAGGCGAGTCAACGCGCATGATGCCCTTCCGACCACGTTGCCGTCACAGGATTGCTGACGCCTTGTCAATTGGCTTAGAAAACAAAGAGACCTTATGCCGAAACGTAATGATATACGGACACTGTCGATACGAGAACACCGGTTGCGCCTTCAACCACGACCAGAATCGTTCCAACTCGGTCCAGAATAGTCCCGGAGGACAGAGCAACCAATCTGATTTGTAGGTCACAGTCCAGATCCGCTTCGCTATCGTGACCGACTTCCATGGCCCAAAGAACCGTCCGAAATGCTCGAGAACTTTTGACGTTTGCTATCGAGACCTGATGCTCCTCTACTAGAGGAAAAGGAGGCGCCTCGATTGTAGAGGCCTTGGCATAGGATCAGCAGCGGTGCTAGACTCTGGCGATACATGCGCCTGACGAGCTTTGTTGCGGACTAAAGTTCTCGACATTGAGGCCTACTTCGCATAGAAGGAGGAGGTGGATCTTGGAATCGCAGTCCTGGATGAAGTCCCGCCGATCGGCTTTGGCATACATCGCGATATGCAGCAAGATGTCCGTGGATCTCGGACTGGTCACCCTATGGTCGATGTGGACTAAAGCTGTGGCCAAAGAAATGTGAATGAAATTTGGATAGCGCCATGGAGGATGAGGTGTAGACCACTAACTTGTAGAGCGAGCATTGACGATGACGGGAAATAATCAAACCTAACGACAAACAATGATAGTAGAAAGCTAACAGTTGGGTTTTAATAGCGCGAGAAAGGCCCTCAATGTCGACTCGCCTTCATTCACACCCGCCGGTCTGCCCTCGGTGGCATCACCGAGTGCAAATACGATAGCGGGCTCCAAGAAATCAACATTTTCCTCCCAGGCTGCGAGTGCAGCCGTTTTTACTCCCAGAGGAGCAGGCTGTACGTCTTGAGCCATGTTGTATCACGGACTATCTCATCTAACTTCTTCACAGCTGCGACGCCAGCCGCCGCTCCAGATGGAGAAGCCGCGTCGACAGTATTTAACCCTGCTACATTTCGAGAATTTACTCCATCAAACTTTGAGTTGAGTACTGGCGTATGGATGACCATGCCTAACAGCTTATTTGAGACTAACATCGAAAAAGATTACTGCCAATGGCTCAGCTTCCGACACAGGGCTCTCATTTGACCCCTTTGCTATGCCCAATGTTGCCCAGCCATTACCGGCCACACCTTTCAACCCTTATGCCGATGATCCTACCGGACTCGCTGGCTCAGGGGCCTACTTCCAACATCAAAATGCTTACACAGCCCCGCTTCAACCGGTGAGAGGACGCGAACTAGATATTTTTCTATGGCAAAACTGACGTCCGGCAGCTTCAATACCATCTGTACGCACCGGTTGGGCCGTATCGAGATGATTTGATGCCGTTCCAAAGGCAAATTCACGACTTCTTCTTACCTGAGAAGATGCGCGAGGAGATGCAACGCAAGTCCGAGGCCTTGCAGCAGGTCATGCCAAGTAAGCTGCACAATGAACAGCAGGTGCTATAGATTTCTAATGCTGTTGAAGACTCGACACTACCTCCGTTAGACAACTACTACTCCCTCGTTCCCCTTGATACCAGTCATCGGAAGAGTTCCAGTGTCTTTGGCTACACCACATGGGTGTACAAGGCCACATCCTCGAAGAACGGCAAAACATACTGCCTCAGACGGCTTGAGGGTATGCTCTCTGGCAATGCCTATCCTCGACATTACTAACGCAGAACAGGGTACCGACTAACCAACGAGCAAGCTATTCGCTCTGTCAAGGAGTGGCGAAGGCTCAACAACGGCAATGTGGTGGGAATACATGACGCCTTCACCACGAGAGCATTTGGCGACAGTTCCCTGTTCTTCGTACAAGACTACCATCCCCTCTCCAAGACACTCGCCGAACTTCACTTTTCTCAACCGGCTTCCACCCACGGCACCCGCTTCAGCGCAAAGAACCCCATAACCGAAAGCGTGCTATGGGGCTATATTTCCCAGATAGCCAATGCCTTGAAGGCCATCCACACATTGAATCTGGCTGCCAGATGCCTTGATATGAGCAAGGTCATTGTGACGGACAAGAATCGCATCCGGCTGAGTGCCTGCTCCATTTTGGATGTCGTTCAGTTCGACAACCGTCGGCCCGTTCAGGAGCTGCAACAAGAGGACTTGATTCAATTCGGGAAACTCATTTTATCACTAGCTACTAACACGCCGCCGAACCAGCTCACGAACCTCAAAGGGTCGATGGAACAGATGAGCAGGGTTTACTCGAAAGAAATCACGGATACTGTCTTGTGGCTTCTGACTCCCTCTCAGGTCGGTGCCACGCCCAAGGGTATAGAAGAATTTGTCCGGGGCATCGCAGTCCATATGGTTGCCACGCTAGATGCCAGTTTACAGGAAGCGGACGCCCTGAAGTCGGACCTGTTCCGCGAACTAGAAAACGGCCGCATAGTGCGCCTCATGGCCAAGCTTGGTGCCGTCAACGAACGGCAGGAATTCGACGGCGACAGGAACTGGTCAGAAAACGGCGAGCGATACATGCTCAAACTATTCCGGGACTACGTATTCCACCAAGTCGACGCGAACGGAAATCCCGTAGTAGACATGGGCCACATTATCCGATGCCTCAACAGGCTGGACGCCGGAAGCGACGACCGAATCTGCCTCACGAGTCGAGACGAGCAGACGAGCTTTGTCGTCAGCTATAAGGAGCTGAAGAAACAGCTCGGCAATGCTTTCGGGGAGCTTCTCAAGGCAGGGAAACAGACGTCGAACCGAGGGTTCCAGGGCACCTCTCACTAGAACGGGGAGGGTTGGGATTGCCACGGTTACGACAAGGATCGAGATCACGGTCACGAAAGGATGGGGAACGAGGCTTCGACGTACTTGGATTGCAATGCACGGGGCTGCGTTTCGAATGATGCGAGAAACCACTACGGAGTGTGATGACTGACCTAGCGTTGGTTTTGAGACGTT